CAAAAGTGGCCCCAAAATAAATATATTATTCTTAGACAATATTTGATGGTCTCCTAAGGGGTGAATCGTAAAAGAAGAACCCTCTAGTCCAAAATGTCGTCCGTCTGGCTTTTACTGTTTCTTTACAAAAGGGAGTTTTTAGCCCGCCCTTCTGCTTTAGAAAAGCTATCTAGCAGGCTTATGCAAACGACCTCGTGTGTGTCTGTGTGTCTGTCTGTCTGTTCCACTAGAAGGAGATGTGCTAGAGACTTCAAATTTTCAGGGCATCTTAAGGTTCGCTCCTAGAAAACGAAACGCCTACGGCAAATCCTGGCAACCACCCCTAAAGGGCTAAAAGGGGGAATCAAAGAAAATGGGGAAGGTCAAAAAAGTCAGAAAAAATATTTTGTTTATGATCCCCTTAGGGGTAACTCGTCAAATTAGAGCCCTATGGGCGAAAATTTTGTCCGTTTGGCTCTATCTCTAACCGTTTAGGCGCTGGAGGGTCTTTTTTGACGAAAATAAGCTTAAAATTGCTGTAGTGAACAATAAGTTGTTGAAGAAGGCCCAAAACCGCTAAAGAGGAAAGAAACTCCCTCCCCCAACCTCAAAAACGTTTTCTAAGCAGAAGGGTGGGTTGTAGTCGCGGTGCTTCACCGTTACATCCCTTTCTCGTGTCTACGGGGAAAATTTCAAGGACAACGAGCTTTGCGGGCCGCAGGCCCGTTGCATCATTTGATTATGTTCTTCACCAAATCGCGTGACAGAAATGGTCGGGCCGCAGCCCGACCATCGCCGCCGGCAGGCCAAGCAGGCCCGGCCCCTGCCGAACGGAGTTGCCGGCGCAGCAAAGCGAAGCTGGCAACTTCGTTTGGCGGAAGGGCGGGCCTGCTTGTTCTTGCTAAAATGGCCAAATAAACAGAACTGTTTTTATTTTTTTTTCTGTAGTACACTTTTGTCTGAGAAGTTTGCCGTCGGTTTAAAATTTTCTTCTAAGGAGGAGAGTGGGCTTGGCGGCACATCATTAATAAACTGTGTACACTCCCATGCAAAAAAAATAAATAATCTAAATCAAGAATCTATCTTGAAAGCAGATGATACAATTTTAAGAATAATAGGTCCGGTTCTAATTTTTTTCTCATATTTAGCTGTCATTTGTTTATGGTTGCTTGTTACTTGCAATTTCGTAATTCGGCGTACAAGTGGCGTTGAGGAGGAGAAAAGGCGCGGGCATCGGTGGGCTAGTATTGTTGTGCAGGGACGGGGGGCGGGGAGCATGTAGTATTGTTAGGCAGGGTGAGGGTAGGGTAGGCGCGAACCTCACTGTTATTCAACGAATGTGACGTCACATTCTATTTAATGTGAATCGCGTCACGTTCGTCCAAATGTTGTGTCACATTCGTTTAAACGTGAATCGGCCAATGCCTGGGCCCATTTAAGCATCAATTCACGTGAAGTCATGTTCAAATGAATGTGACACAATATTCAAACGAATGTGACACGTTTCACATGGAAACAAATGTGACGTCACATTCGTTGAATAACAGTGCTCACTCACTCGGACACGGTTCCCCAGCGCCAAAGAAATTGTTTTCTGGTCTGCATTAAGTTCTCTTGTACTCATGTAGAGTAAAAGCTAGCTGACACCTTAAAGTTACTTGTATATTCTTTATGTTTAGTCAAAAGGTTTTTAAGGTATCATCTGCTAAAAAACAAAAAAAAAACAAAACAAAAAAACATTTATTTCGTTGTTCGGAGTCATTCAGAGTATGCCTGGACGTATATTGAACTTCTTCTGGGTCTAGTCTTACATATCCTTTCATTGGTGTGTTATTGGTTTCACAAGCTAACATCAACAACTTAGAAGGGATTTGGCATAACTTCCATGTATTCTACAAACTGCGGCACACACCATGAGAGAAGGGCGCCCTGGAGAAGAAGCTTAACCCCGGCCGGAGCGTGCGCCGCGGGACGGGGGACCAGCCTGTGAGCGCAAATGAAGAGCTACGGCCTTTTTTTAACGTGCGCCAGAATGGCGAATGACTGACGAATCGGCTCATGTAACTGTCATACCTGTAAGTTCAAAAGTAAGGGCACAGGGGCCCGCCCAAGGGCTGGCGCGGCCCGCGCCGGGGGCTCCGGCAAGGCTGCCTGCCGCATGTTATACATGTTGTACACCTTGTAAGTGAAACAAGGTATTAACCTCTCCGGTATGAGTGACGAAACGCCCTGGCGCATCGGCACACCGAACAGCGCCTCGTACGGACTCCTCCCCGTCCCCTCGTGGACGCCCGGTTTTTGGTGTTGGCCACCCACTTTTGCCCCTCCGCCCACTTGTTGGTCCGGTGGGTGAGCATCCAGGCATTTAACATATTTTGGATGTCTTGGTTTGCTCGCTCAACCGACCCCTGGCTCTGGCTGTGTCGGGGCTTCCCTAATAGCGAAGAACACGTTAGAAAACCAGAGGCAGCGTAGAGGCGTGGGTACGTGCCCGCGGTGGCTCACCATGAACAATCTTCATTCCCTGCCAGATGCGGCACAGGGACTCCACGACCGCGTTGGCGAACTCCCGGCTGTTGTCCGACTGTAGGACGGTGGGTGCGCCGAACTCCAGGAATATGGGGAGGATGTTC